TTCTATTTTTAATATTTGAGGAAGCTCCGTACAGTTTTCTATAGTGACTGTAGCCAATTTACATTCCCTCCAGCAATACACGAGGGTTCTCTTTTCTCCACATCTTTGTCAACATTTGTTATCTCTTGTATTTTTGATGACAGCTATTCTAATAGATGTGTAGCGTTATCTACACATCAATAGATGTGTAGCGTTATCTACACGTCAATAGATGTGTAGCATTTCCCAGATGATTCTTGATGTTGAGCATCCTTTCAAGTACCTTTTGGCATTTGTATATCTTTTTTGGAAAAATGTCTATTTAGTTTCTCTGCATGTTTTTTAATCAGATTGTTTATTTGTTTGCTACTGAGTTGTATGAGTTCTATATGTATGAGTTTTTATATTTTTATATTAACCCCTTATCAGGAATGTGATTTGTAAATATTCTTTCCCATTCTGTAGGCTGACTTTCATTTTGATGGTATCTCATGAATCTCTTAATGTATTTTCATTCTTTTTCCTCCTTGCTCCTCTTCTTAGGTGGCTTTTACTGCCCTGTTTTCAAATTAACTCATCTTTTCTCACTTCCCTGGCCTGATATTAAACCCCTCTATGAATTTTGCAGTTCATATATTTTATTCTTCAGCTCTGTGGTTTCTGTCTGGTACTTTCTTATATATTCTGTTTGTTGAAATTTTCACTTTGTTCATGCCTTGTTCTCCTAACTCATTGATCATCATTATGACGTTATTTTGAATTTCTTATCAAATAAATAACTTTTCTCCATTTCATTAAGTTCTTTTCCTGAAGGTTTATCGTCTCTTATTTAGAACACATTTCTCTGTCTCTTCAATTTTTTTTGCCTTTCTGGGTTGGCTTCTAAGCATTACATAAAACAATCATTACTTCTAGGCTTCATGCAGTGGTTTCATGTAGGATTTAAACATTATGATACAGGGGTGCCTGGGTTTCTTAGTTAAGCATCTGACTTCAGCTCGGGTCATGATCTCATGGTTTCTTGATTCCAGCCCTGCATCAGGCTCTGTGCTTACAGCTCAGAGTCTGGAGCCTGCTTCAGATTCTGTGTCTCCCTCTCTGCTTGGACTCTGTCTCTATTTCTCTAAAATAAATAAATGTTAAAGAAATGTAAACGTTATGATTCAGCCTGGCCTGTGCTCTTGGTTGTCTCTTAAATCTTAATGATTGGTCAGGCTGCCTTCTTTGTTCTTAATGGCTCCCAGTAGTTGAAGGTATGCCAAACCTGTTTTGATGTGGGTTTTTGTTTTGTTTTGTTTTCTCATTGACCCATTATGTAGGAGTCACTCAGCTAGTTTCTGGATTTTTTTCAGAGGGAATTGCTCCACGTGTAGCTGTAGATTCGGTGTGTCCGTGGGACGAGGTGAGTTCAGGAGACTCCTATGCTGTCATCTTGGACAGGAACATTTAAAATGACTACATAATGGTATACTTACCACGTAATTAAAATGTACACAGAGATTTGAAAAAACTGGTTTATTTAAATTTTAATCCTAAGGTTATTAAAGTAATACTTTTTCTTAATGATTTGCTACCTTCATCGTTGAACTTCTGTTTTCTTCTAAATATTCCCTACAAGTTTTAAAAGATTTCTGAAAGTTAGATTTCTCTGTAAGACCCCCTCAGTAACATCTCTGCTTATCTGTTGTGAAATTACTGTAATTTCTGACAGTCTTTTTTAAAGCTTCTGTGTTCTCTTTGGTCTCTCTACCTGCCATGCTGTTCACTCGGGCAAAACCATTGTATTTTCAAGTCATCTGACTAAGGAAGCATTTTATTAATTTTTGAGACAGAATAGAAGCAGAGAGGCAAAAGGATTTTAAGTTGATAAAAATGTGTCGGAAGTTGAAAAACAGTGATAACATATATCATAAATGCACATTATACATATTATATAAATAATACATATTGTTATATATAACATATAAACATCACTTATCAAGGACCATTTAAATATAAGCATTTCAGTGAAAAATTAATGTTGCTTCTGAGTTTACCAAATCTCCTATTGCATTCTGCATTTTAGATTTGAGCTGGGATGTTTTATCTTTATGGAAGTATTTTTATTTATTTTATCTTCATTTACTACATAAAATATCAAAGTGAAGCTGTACAAATGTTAAGTCAAAATGTCCAGATTTAAATAATTAGAAATCACATAAAGTAAATTTCTTATGTCCCCACTAGGATGCATGTACCTACTGTAAACTAAGCAAAAAAAAAGTTTAATTTTCTGAGCCTTTTTATTTTCTATCATTCTATTTTATCATACATTTTAATATTTCTCTGCTACATTATTTTATACATGAAAATCAACAGCAGCAACCACAGCAGTGTCAAGGAAAGCAAAAGGAATTTGTGAAAATTTACTGTGTGCTTGCAATGGTTTCTTTATATATAAAATTTCATTTCTCACAATATTGTCATGGCTGTCCATATCTTTCATTTTACCAAAGACACTGAGGCTTTAACACGTATTTGTAAAGTGTTTTGAGTATTAGAATTAAGTGGTATGAGGATGTATTTTACAAAATTAAATGAATGTTGTGTTGTGCTCCTTTATAATGGGTATAATTATAATTTTCTTTCACTGATCCTTAACTACAGGGTTTTAGGTGTTTTCAATCACCAGAAATCAAATGGTACTAGGAATCCAATTGCTTAACCTTTAAGACATTTTCATCTAAAGAATGAAACTATAACCAAATCTTTGAAAATGGTCACTTCTACCAATTAATAGATTTTAGAGTTCCACAACTTCTCTTTTAGGTCTATCTTTACAAGGTGTAATAATTCCATGTGTAGATTCTAAGCGTTTGCTATGCCATATATTGTATAGTGCTAAAATTGTTTTTCATGGGCTATGTATATATTCTGTTTTTTTAAGCTTAAAAAGAAATAAGTAAAACCAAATGCCCTGAGCAGTCTACTATACCCTACTCCACTGTACTCTTCTAAGTCTAGCATTATATATTAAGTTTTGATATAAGGAATGATCTTGAATTCCTTATATGATCATTATTGATCTTGAATTCCTTAAATGATCATATATTATGCCTATATGCTAAAGAAATGTCATAAATCATCTTTTGGGATCTCAGACTGTCCATGTCTTAAAATTGATATGGATACACCAACCACATTAGAAATTCAGTATCTGTGTTTTGTTTTGTTTTGTTTTTTATGAAAAGTGTAACAAGTGATAAATTACAGCTGTGAGTGATTCAGTCATGAAGTGAAACCAAATCTTTAAGAAACTATTATTGCTTTTAACAGATAAATTCTGTGGCCAGCTAGTTTAAAATCCTCATTTTGTAATTTCTAAAATATCCTTAGCACACTAAATACAAAAGGTTAAACTAGTTGACTAAAGAAGGGCTAATAACTTCTTCATCTATTGCCCTTTATTTGTATCTACCTAATGTTCTACTGTACAATCAGTCCTGATGAATCCTTCAAGACTGCTGTCTAAGTAAGAATTCAACTGTTCGTATGCAGACTTAGTTGAGACCAAATCCTATACTAGATGATGTTCTGTACTCACCCAGTTATATTCAATGTGTATCATAAATTAACCTCTACTCACAGTGGTAGCAATGGACCAAGAAATTGGTGACAGAAAAGTTTCCTAAGTAGGGCCAGAGAAAGCTACTATCTTATTTAACTCTATCCCATTGACAACAGCAGGAAACTTAGATGCATACAGTTGATTTGTTTGATTTTGGTTTTTTGTTTGGAGGCTCAATATTCAGAACACTTACCCTGGTAAAAAAGTGGAAAGAAGGAGGAAAGTAGGAGGGAAAGAGAGGGAGAAAAGAGGGTAAAAACAAGGAAGGAGGGGAGGAAGAAAAAGAGGGAGGAAATTAATTTGGAAATACCTTATAACCTGGAAAGCTGTTTTACCAAAATATACCCCTCCCTGCATAAATGGTAGAAGGGCTCCATAATCCAGTGTTACTGGTTGTTGCATGTTTGTACTGTGTTGATGTTAACTACAGGGATTGTTTTTGAAGAGTAAAGTGGGAAGGTACCAGGATGTATAAGAAAGCTAGCTTTTAAAATTTAGAGATTTTGAAAGAGTTGAAAATGGGCCGTCAATCACTGAACAGAAAATTTTTAATTTAAAGAAATAATTATATCTTGATTTAAGAAGAGTTCTACTTTCTTTTAGTACTTTTGAAATATCCATGACATTTGTAACAAAAATATATCTGATGCTGTGTATATATATATACTTGTTAATTTTTACCTGATTATAAAGAAAATATGAACTTAAACCATCAACAGTTAATTTCTGTCACAATTTGTTTTCACATAATAATCATTCTCCATCTTTTTACCCATGTAGATTACAGAAAAATCTGTTCTATGAAATAAATTTACTAAGTTGTTCATCAGTCAAGAATTTATTTTGCCTCCCAGTAAATGCCATGTTAATGCACAATGGAAATTGATGAGTTAAGGCTAAAAAATGAATAGTAATTCATAAATTATGATTGTATTTTCATTTTATCAGTTATAGTCATTTATGTTTGAATTGTGTCAACTCGATTTATGATAGCTATTACTGCCTTTTTAAGTGAAATGCTCCTCAATTTCATAAGTGAATTGTACGCCCTGGAGTTTCTTATACTGAGAACATCTTTATACAATATTTTTACAAAGTATGTGGTCAAAAATGCACAAATATATTTGTATTATATCATGGTCAATTGATATAATTGATATCGTTGAATTCAAAAAAGCATTTTTTAGTATCAGGGGATTCATTGTAGATCCTATAAAAGTCTCAGAATATCCTATTTCTTATCAACTATTATTGAATTCAGAATAATATCCTTTTGTTATTGATGTCCAGTACCAATGTTCACGTTGTAGATAGCTTCTGAGCACCAGAGCCCGTTTTTCTGTGCACCTTGTAACTCACGGTAACTGTTGTCCCTTTAAATTATTACTAATAATTTTCCAATTTTTCAATACAGGTAATGGATTAGGAATTAGAATTGTGGGTGGCAAAGAAATCCCTGGGCATAATGGAGAAATTGGAGCCTACATTGCCAAAATTCTTCCTGGAGGAAGTGCAGAACAGACAGGGAAACTTATGGAAGGTAAGAATAAGGATTTCATTGTTGATTAAGATGAACATACTTATATTAAATGTATTTTAATTTAATATGCAGATTTTCTCCTTGTTTACTGTCTAGGTAACCCTCTCTCCTTATGGTTAATTATGAGATTTTGGTCTAGTAATATAAAAGAAAATGTGTTCACAACTAAATTCAATTTATTTTCAGTTGCATTGTCCTTTTGGCAGTTGGGTTTGCTCTGGGAATATCTTATTTAAGAAACACTAATTAGTCAATAAATGTTTACTGACTTGGGCAATATTATTAAAACCACTTTGGTTATTGGGATTACTTTTGTATAAATACCAAGAAAATTATATTGAAATCAGAGCTGTAAAACTACCACATGATTCAGTGCACACTAATGTTGGGCCAGTAAACTATGAACAACCCACAGGCCAATATGTCTGCCATTTGTTTCTTTAAAGAGTGTTTTATTGGAACACGGCCAGGATCATGAATTTACATGTTGAACATGGGCATTTTCCCACTACAAAGACAACTGCATTCATGACAGAGATGAAATGGTCTACAAAAACTAAAATATATACTCTGTGGCTCTTTACAGAAAAAAATTACCAACTCCTGTGCTAGGTTACTGTCTACCTTTTAGGTACTATCCACCTTAGTACATCAAAACCATTTCACAATAATGAACTCTACAGATCTATCTAAAGGGTCATAAAACATATATTTTATCAGTTTCTTTTGAATGTTATAAAATGTTCGGTTCTCAAAACACAAAACGATTATTTTCACTTTCTAATTAGAATATATGATTGTTCGCATTTTCCAAACTCTAACATATAGTTTACAAGCTTCCAGTGATATTGTTTATAATGAATATTCTTCTATTATAAAACAGCTTCAGCTAATCATTTTATTTTACTCTAAATAAAATACTTATTTGGGAGGTGGGGTTTTCTTTGTGATTTCCTAGTTTTATAAAATGTTGTCTGTTTAAAATTTAAATTATGCTAAAATGATTCACTCTTATTTTCTTCAATGTATTGCAACCTCCCCAAAATCCCTAGATATTTTGATACACTATTAGAATAAATACAACTTGAGGGGCGCCTGGGTGGCTCAGTCGGTTAAGCGTCTGACTTCTACTCAGGTCATGATCTCGCGATCATTGGGTTCGAGCCCCACATCAGGCTGTGTACTCACAGCTAGCTCAGAGCCTGGAGCCTGTTTCGGATTCTGTGTCTCCCTCTCTCTCTCTGCCCCTCCCCAGCTCATGCTCTCTCTCTGTCTTAAAAATAAACAAACATTGGGGCGCCTGGGTGGCTTAGTCTGTTAAGCGTCCGACTTTGGCTTAGGTCATGATCTCGCGGTTCGTGGGTTCGAGCCCCGAGTCGGGCTCTGTGCTGACTGCCAGCTCAGAGCCTGGAGCCTGTTTCAGAGTCTGTCACTCCCTCTCTCTCTGACCCTCCCTTGCTCACGCTGTCTCTCTCTCTCCTAGAAATAAATAAAACATTTAAAATAAATAAATAAGTAAATAAACAAACATTAAAAAATTAGAATAAACACAACTTGAGGCAATATTTATTCATCACGGATGAATAGTGGAGCTGGCTGGTACCAACTCTCTTAGATACACTCTTCCTAACTTCACATTCAGTGACATCACACTCATGGCTTGAACTGTTCTTGTTGGGAGGATTCACGAAGTGGAAGCAGATCAGTGTGATAAATTAGGCCTGTTTGCTTTATCTGCTTGTTGGTTTTCAGAAAGCCAGATTGCCAGGACATCCCCTAATATGTAACTGAAAGCATATTTTTAAAAATATTCCAGTGGCCTCTATAAAACAGGGAAAGGTAGATTAGCCAGATAGCTAAAAGAAAGTGAAAACTGTTATGAATCAAGATACAATAATTCTGAGCAAACTACAGAGTCTGTACGAAGTTTCTATGACTCTAATCCTATCATGCCTGATGCTACTCTTTGATATTGTAGTCTGCTTAAGCCAAAGACATTGAAACCTTTTTTTCTTCACTTGAGACCATTTTTAATAATGGGAGTGACACACTTTCATACAGCATACTCCAGAATGAAAGGTATATGCTATTTTTATTTTAAAATAAAAATTGCAGCAACTGTTTGTTTTATAGTTTTGCAAAGATACCCAAATACAGATAAATTTTCATACTCTTCTCTGTAATTACACCATAGAAATTGACAAAGTCTACAAGTCAGGGTGATTTGAAAGACATTTTCAATGAAGCATATTATGATGAAATGATACTCTTTGTACTTGGTAGTAGTCTATGTGGCTATTTTTAAGTTCATATATTTAAATTAAAAATAGATATAATACAGACTAAATCAAGAGAGAAAATTGAAGTGAACCTATAGTTACATTTGTGATTTCACAAACTCAAACTGCCACTAAAGTTCTCATTATTTTTGCAACTAGTGGTTTTGCAGTTTATCTAACTGGTTTGAGTGGGAAATCATTAAAAGCTACATGTATTTTATTTAAGATTTTATTTTAATTGATTATTAATTCTCCCAAATATTTGCCAAATTGCCAAACCAGACCTTTCTGCGAGTATAGATCCTCTGGTTGGAGTCCAATTGTTGTATAATGCATACCCATAATTTGTTATTTATGATTTCCTGCTTTGCTTAATTGATTTTTAAAACATAGGTCTTTAATAAAACACTTGGTACTATTTCTATTAGATTCATGATGCTGTCTTGTTTCAATACTTAGATCCTGTTTTTGAGATGTTAAATATTTTGAGGAGTTACTTTAACATTCGAGAAATCACTTTTCTTCCATACACAAGGCTCTATACCACCAGGCAAAAATAATAAAGGTTAGGGGCTCCTGGGTGGCTTAGTCGGTTAAGCGTCCGACTTTCGCTTAGGTCATGATCTCGCGGTTGGTGGGTTTGAGCCCCGCGTAGGGCTCTGTGCTGACTGCCAGCTCAGAGCCTGGAGCCTATTTCAGAGTCTGTATCTCCCTCTCTCTCTCTGACCCTCCCCTGCTCACGCTGTCTCTCTCTCTCTCTCCCAGAAGTAAATAAAAATATATATACATAAAAATAATAATAATAAAGGTTCATTCCTTTAATGTCCAAAGATGAACTGACTGAAAGGTCATTAGTCCAAATGGGAATACACAAGGAAAATGTTGTTTGACCAATGTATTTTCTGGATATATATCTATATGTATTTATATTTACATAGTTTTTGTTTTGTCTGTAACTAGGTGTTTTATTTATACATGGTATTCTTACAGCCATCACCTTCAATCTCTAATAGATTATCATAGAATTTCAGAGCATTATATTGGTTAAGATACAACTCTGACATTTATGTCTGATGAGAGGCCTAACTACAGTAATACCAAGTGTGTATCACTGGAGTCTTGTGGATTTTTTTAATATCTAAAAATGTTTATGACCATCATAAAATTTTATTTATTGAAGGCAATACAGATGGTTAATTATCCATAGTTTGAAATTCTTTTCTGAGGAAACAATATATACGAATAGATAGATAAAATATGTAGTTGTGTGTATTTAATTTTACTTCTCCATCTGTAGAATGAATTCCAGGTAGATTTAGTAATTGATTTCATGTCTTCCAAGTGTATCATTCTGCATTTATGAATACAAAAGTATATACTCTGAGCCTTTATGATTTAAAATTGTCACTGCTTGATTTAAAATATACATGAATGATGTTTGGTTGACCATAGAATTCTTAGACTGCATTTTTTTTCCACACCATACAATGACACTCTTGTTAAAAAACAGGTTGGCTCTACAGTTTTTCCTAAGTTTGGTTACTTGTCTTACAATAGGCTTTCAGGCTCAGGAGGGTCTTACACGTTTATGCGCTTGCAGCACTCAACGACATGGATTCTGACTGTTGACTTTTGGAAGAGCAAGGGTATTTTCAGGTTTCCTCTAGTTTTTTATCCTCAGGATTTGTACACTTAAAACATACTGACCAGTTATGTAGGGTTTCCAATGCTCATAAGCCAAGTGCTGTTCTGAAAGTACTGACTGACGTAACTACATTAAGTGGAGGGGAGAGGTCCCCACTATACTTCCTGAGTCCACTGGGCTGGTTATATGTTAGAAGGAGATTTTTATTCAGTGTTTTTTGAAAAATCTTTGTAAACTAGGTTGTCTATCTTGTTAAGTAATGGAGGAAAAAGTTGTGTTTCAGAATGCTGATAATTGGCAATAATTATTATTGCAGACTCGTTAGGCTACTCTCAAAAATTCATTTTTATACACTCATAATATAGGCTTGTGCCATCCCCTGAAATTAAAAAAAGAAGTTAGAGAATGTTGCGTCAATCAAGATTTCCTGAGTCAATCTCTTAGTTTTCTAAAAATCTGTACTGACTTTCTGAAAGAACTTACACAGTCAGATATTTGAGGGATCCTGATTTTCCTAAACCATACAACTTATTTTTCAGCAACTTTAGTAAACATTTAAGAATGTTTAAGAATGTTGGACAAAGAATGATCTTTGGCTACCTATTATTCTTCATTTTAAGGCTTAAAGTCAGTTTTCTGTTAAAAAAAAAAAAAAGCAGACAAAACATCTGGAGAATTAAACTACACACCTGAATTTTCAAAGTGCTATTTGTTGCTATTTGCTTTAGGATTAAAATTTTAAACAGTTGTACATCAACACTGTTGGGGCTGTGTATTGCTCATCAGTATTGGTGTTTTAAGTGGTATATAATTTTGTGTTTCATTTTCTCCTTTGATATTGTTATTTCTCTTTGGACTAATTTGAACATCTAAAAACACACCTGAATATCTGGACTTTGTCTATTTAAAACTTGCCACTTCCTTTTTAAGTGTTTATTTTAAAGGGATGATTATTAACTGTACTTAGAGTACAATATCAATACCAGGTTCAGTATAATCATCACCTTAACTAATGGCCTCAAAAAATGAGATGCCTCCTATGTAATAAATTTTCTATACTCTGTATTACCTAGTGA